CCATGAAAGTGATTTTTTAGATTAGTGAAAATACATCATATGAAAGTTAAATAAAAACACGTTTTAATTGCATAACAAGATATCGTGAGATGCCGTCTCAACAAAATACGACAAGGAAGAATTCTGATTATTTGAATGAACTGAAACACGGCAAATATAGTTATAATACATCTGCAAATAAACCTCCACAACATCTTTCTGAATTCTACTCCTTCATGAGCAATAATTCGAACGCATCAGCATCTCCTGGACGGGAGCTGACTAGAGGTAGTTATGAATATAACCAGAGAATGAATAGAGAGCCATCTTTGAATACCTTTACTTCATTTTCTCCTTCTGTTAGTGACCTTTCAAATATATTAACTTCACAAGATTTCCAGCATACCACTGAAAAATATAGTAACATTATAGATAAGGCAGAAAAATTACGATTGTCATTGGCAGGTGTATGTGAAGCGGCCAGCGAATTTGGACATGCTTTAGAAGATTCGATTAACGAATGCCCTAAAGTTAATAATTCAAAAAATGTGAGCAATGGGATAATGAATGCGGGCGGTTTGCAACATATAATAGCAGCAAATCAGAATATCTTGAGCAGCTTGATATTACTGAGTTTCGAGCAACCGTTAAGAAAGGAGTTACAGAACCTTCAAGAAGAATATAGTTCCAATTATAAGTTCTATCAGCAAGAAGTGAAGTCAAAGTCAAATTTATTGAAAGAGAAGGAATTAGAAAACTTGAAACTTTCAAAGTCTAAGACAAGAAACTTAAATACGTATAAAATTAACTTGTTGAGTTTAACGAATCAAATTGATGATATTGACAGGTTGAAATATGAATATTACCATGAAATTAATTCTATGATCGAGAATTTTAATCGGGATCATTTACTTGTAAGAACAGGTTCACTTGTAAGAGCCCACCTTGAAATATATGAAGGTATTGCTAAGAAGGGGTGGTCTGGTGGTGGTTTAGACGAATTATTAGCAATATCTCCTGACTTATTTGGTACAGACTATACGGACGAAGAAGATGAGCAATTGGAAGATGAAGCTCGTAGTAAGAATAACGAAATATCCCATGAAAGAATATCAGCACAACGCGATAATAGTAGATCTTTGAGCGAGGCAGATAGTGACTCTCAAATAGATGATACAGATAACACAATAGAATTATCGAAAAGGAGCCAATCTGCTAATCTGGTTAGATGCAACACAGAAGTATCAAAGAAGATCTCTCATGAATTAGAAGGAGGTGAAGAGCATAATTTAGGTAATTGCAGCCAGGGTGATAGTACACAAGACGAGTCGTTTTCACTTCCAGCTATTAATAATTCGAATACTGTTCTAAATCAATCAGCTAAACTATTGGATTCAAATAGTACCCAAGATAATGATATCAGTATTGACAATAATGATATACTTAACGAACTTGACGAATAGATGTATGATTTAAATTTATAATTTATCATATTTACTGTAATATAAAACATTAATTCCCTACACTCGCTTCTGAAATTTTTTCAGTAGCTTGTTCAATATTTGGCTTTATGCTTGTCTTCAGTGCTTGTGTTGCTGGCATGTTACTTTTGTTAAAGCTTTTCATTGGCCTTAAGCCCCATTTTTTCAACATTTCAATATCTTCATCCCATCCATTGCACATTGTTGTCAACATTTTCTCACCAGTAAAAATGGCATTACAGCCACCCATGAAGCATAAAAATTGTTCATGTTCTTTCATGGTATAACGTCCAGCTGCAAGTCGAATGATTGATTCTGGCATAATTAATCTGGCAGTAGCAATAGTTTTCAAGATGTGTTCAAATTTTAAGCGTCTTCCTGATTCACGGGGTAAACTAGAGATCTCCTTTTCCATTGGAGTTCCTTTAATTGGCACTAAACGGTTAATAGGCAAAGATTCCGGATGCTTTTCCATAGTTGATAAGGTGTATAAGAAACCGATATGATCTTCCTCGGTTTCACCTAGTCCAAGGATACCTCCAGTACATGCTTTGATTCCAGCATCTTGGACATTTTTAATTGTTTGCAATCTCTCGTCGTAACTTCTAGTTGAAATAACCTTTGGATAATGCTCTCTAGAAGTATCGATGTTATGGTTATACGCTGTCAAACCAGCGTCAGCTAAATCTGCAGCCTGTTTCTTATCAACCATTCCTAAAGTCACACAAGTCTCCATTCCTAATTCTTCATTGATTTGTGTGACCATTTGAGAAATACGCTTTAAACCTGATTTACGACCTGTCATGTCTCTCCATGCAGCACCCATACAGAATCTAGTAGATCCATTTGCCTTTGCAGTTCTAGCAGCCTTCATCACTTCATCTATTGAAATCATCTTTTCTGCCTTTGTTCCGGTGTCATATCTGGTCGATTGGGCGCAATATTTGCAATCTTCAGTACAACCACCAGTCTTGATTGACAACAAAGTACATAATTGAACCTCTTGAGGGTTGTGATACTTTCTGTGTTGAATCTGGGATTGAAACACCAATTCCATTAATGGTGTATTGTATATCTCACGTATTTGGTCTTTGGTCCACGAGTTCAATGGTCTAGGAGTAGTTAATGCTAAATCAATAGCCTTCATATTAGACTCGTGTTCCGTGCCAGAGCTAGTATTGATACTGAAATTAATTGAAGAGTCAACTCCTACAGAATTGGCTCTCTGAGCATTCAACGGCATGGTATTTGATGGTGCAAGAACTCTCATCAGCTGAGATGAGAAAGAACGTTTGACGATATACCTAGAAGCCATCATAACTGTCAAATATGCTATTTGCTATTTTGTAAAGAGAATATGGATATTATACTAAATAAATAAAGATATAATGATTGACAATTATCTCGTTTTTATTGGGTATTCGAGCGATTGCAAAATCCCTACCCTACAAAATCTCCGTCCGAGCTGAATCATTCGAGTCATTTGAGTCAACCACCAAGATGACTCCCATGTCGCGGATATGAAGAACTATGCGAAATGCGACATTTGTATGTCTCAATCCTTACTGCTGCAAAATACTGACCTTGAACAGAAGGGGTTCAATTTCTTGACCAAAAATCTGCGTTTATAAATTTCTTTCAGTTCGTCGTTATTACAAATATAATGTAAGTAATATTTTCCTATAATAGGTCATGTATATTGCAATAGAATTGAATTTCATGCGTATGTTTTTAGTACAATTCGATGAATAGGTGAGGAGCCGGTTGTCATTCAACCGCTCGGTATGCAACCAAGAATTCTAAAACCGAATTATCATCTCTCTTCTAATGTCCTACCGTATTACATACATAACCATATGAAGTTCAGTATCTTTGCGTATAGTCCTTCACAGAAAATTCGGCTACAAGTAAAATCTAACAATTATTCAATGTCAAACTTCTGTCAGGAATATATTCAAAAGTCTTAAATATTCGGCTCATCGTACCCTTAGCATGATTCACTTTTGATACTACCCTCTACACTGTAACACTTCGAGTTCTCGTCTTTGTGGTACCAACTTCTCAAGTCTTACACAAAATCATTTCAAAGGGCAATAGCCCTTGGCGATTATTTAGTGCGATTACCGGGAAATAATTTTTCACTGCTCATTCAATATGTCCGAACTTAAAACCAATTTTTCATTTTCTTAAAGGAAGATTCTTTTGTATTTCAACACCGAGAAATAGTATTAAAAATGGCTCCAATCGTATGTATAACTATGACAGGATATTGATAATAGCAGCAAATACCCTTTGTACGGGTTCGTGTGTTCAAGTGTTTTTTTTTTGATTTTTTTTGAAAGCATTTTTTGTCTAGCAGACTGGTTCTGCTATACTATTTTTTTTTGATGAAGCTCTCTTAAGTGAAAGCAGATCATTTCTACATTCATAAAACCATAACTTGGATAAAACATCTTTGATAACGCAAACCCGGCCCTGGGCTTTGCTGTCTTTATCATTATTTCTTACACCTTTGGTGTACAATGATAATAGTGCAGTAGGCTAACATGGGATATAGACCACCAAGAAAAACACCGCTGCTAAGAAGTTAGTTGTTGACACCTCCGCCCCAACCGAAAACGGTGTTTTCGACCAAGAATCTTACGTCAAGTTCTTGATTGAAAACATCAAGGTTGAAGGTATCCCAGGTAACTTAGGTAACTCCATCTCCATTACTGAAGAAGGTAACAAGGTTGTTGTTGTTTCTAACACCAAGTTCTCTGGTAAATACTTAAAGTACTTGACCAAGAGATACTTAAAGAAGAACCAAATCAGAGACTGGATTAGATTCGTTTCTGTTAAGCAAAACCAATATCAATTACAATTCTACTCCGTCGCTGAAGACGAAGAAGAAGAAGACGAAGAATAAATTATTTGATTCAACTAATATTTTGTATAATAAGATAGGTTTTGAATATATAGTTTATTACGGTCACGGGTGAGGTTTATGAATGTATTAATATCGCTTAATGAAATTCGTAGAACACTGTAAAGGATTTGGCATGAGAGGATTAAGCACGTTTGCATTATGAAAATATAGGTAATGCTAATTGGTTATCTTCAAAAGTCGATGATGATCCTATTAATCTAACCTCTTTGATCCAGAATTTATCATTTTCCAGTAATCTCAAAGGTATATTTTGTCATAAACCATATATATGGATTCATACCAGTTTGAATGTATTTTGACAATTGTTGAATACCACACCGTCCACTTCAGTTAGTGTATAGGGAGTTGAGTATCTATATTAGTGAGATATTTATTTAGAAGTCAGAGCAAATTTAAAAAATATAGCTGGCTGCGAAACCCTATGTCATTATTAATTTCATTATTTTCTTGATACGGTATCTATAGATATTGTCTAAAGAGAAGGGAATATATATCTTATCTTTATAAACAATACTTCTTGGTAACGAGCCTTATGGCTTATTTTAAATTTTCCAAAAAGATTAACACACTAAAATAGGAAACAGAAATTGCAGCATTGAAGAGGATTTCCAGTACTCTTGGTAGGAATGCAAAATAAAGTATATATTGCAAAGAAGACAATTAAGTGCTAGAAATTTTAGGATCAGATTATCAATAAAAGCATTAAATCATTATCGATTAAATTTACAGACCGTCAAAGAATTTATATTATTTAGCTAAATTTTTAACAAAATTACAAAATTACAAAATTACAAAATAAGCACCGATAAATTTATATCTAAAAAGAGTTCACTTCTAGGATTTTTAATCTGAATAAGGGGCCTAACTTTGGCAATCATGAGTAACCAGTTCTTCTTTTTTCTTTGCTTCTTTTCTTGTGAGTTCCATTTCTTATATCGTCAATATCTTCTTAAGAGCTCTATTTCTCTTACCTCCTCAGTTCTCATAGCCTCAGATTCATAATGAGTTCCACTAATGGATCTTTGTCCCAATTAACATGTCAATTTTCTTGATTTTGATTATCTAACAATTCCACCAGGTATACGGCAGCTGAATCTAAAGGATAATACTTTTTATTATCACTACATACTTACTTATAACGTACATCTAAAGAGTCTATCTTTTCCCCTCAGTTACTGACTTCGTGGCCAAGTTGGCTAAGGCGTGAGACTGTTAATCTCAAGATCGTGAGTTCGACCCTCACCGAGGTCGTTTACTTTTTTTTCGGTTTCGAGAAACATGACATGCTTGGATTATTTCAAAGCTCGATGATTCGCTGCATAACTACATATAAACTATTCTTCTATTTTACTAAGTAATTACTTTATAATTACACGATTTGCAATTACAATATGTAGCTACGTGATAGCATTGCAGGCACGCCCAGTATGACTCCAAACAAGTCATCCTTGTAGTCCACTCATATGACAGAAGCAATATGCGAGTGTTACATAACCTTCCGCGGGAATTGAAAAAATTCCACCTATAAGATTTTTTGTCTGTGAAAAATAGTCTCTTGAATTATTTCTTTCCCATATAACCCACCTGATATATCTTGAAAGTTACTTGAACTAAGTAATCTGCTGGATATTAAGCAAAATATATTTGATTTCAAAAAGACATTAAAAATATTTTGGAAGTAAAAAAAAAAACATTGAATTAACCATGGAATCAATTACTCGAGTCTCCATGTCCGTTTGTCCATTTGTGAAGTCTTCATCGGCTCAAGCATTAAGGCAATTAAGCAAAAAGTCAGGTTTGGCTAGTCAAGCTCGCCAGTGCCCATTTATGGGTGCTGCTTTGAATGCTAAAGAATCGACCAGGTCATATTCATCAGCTACCAAGCCGGTTAGAGCTACTGCTTCTTCGATTTCTTCGAACCATCCTTCTGAGGTGCAATCCAAGTACTCATTTAAGGCAGAGGAACTCGTTGGAAATAAAGATGCAGTTAATGTCGAGTCGAATGAACGTGCTTTTGACTTTAAAGGTTACTTAAACTCCGAATTGAACAAAAAGAGAACTGATAAGTCGTACCGTTACTTTAACAACATCAACCGTTTAGCCCAGGAATTTCCTAAAGCCCATCGTTCGAGCGAGAGTGACAAAGTTACAGTCTGGTGCTCTAACGATTATCTTGGTATGGGTAAAAATGAGAATACGCTTAATGAAATGAAGCGAGTCTTAACGAAGTATGGCTCAGGCGCGGGTGGTACCAGAAACATTGCTGGACATAACATCCATGCTCTTAAATTAGAAGCAGAGTTGGCTACTTTGCACAAGCATGAAGCTGCGTTAGTTTTTTCGTCTTGTTTTGTTGCTAACGATGCAGTTTTATCGTTATTTGGTCAAAAGATCAAAGACTTAGTCATCTTTTCAGATGAATTGAATCATGCTTCTATGATTCAAGGAATTAAAAATTCAAGAGCTAAAAAGCATGTCTTCAAGCATAACAATTTGGCTGATTTGGAAGAAAAATTAGCTCAATATCCGAAATCAACTCCAAAATTGATTGCATTTGAATCCGTTTATTCTATGTGTGGTTCTATTGCACCTATTGAAGCCATTTGTGATTTAGCTGAAAAATATGGTGCCTTAACTTTCCTTGATGAAGTTCATGCAGTCGGTATGTATGGTCCTCACGGTGCTGGTGTTGCTGAACACTTAAATTTTGATGCTCACTTGAAATCAGGTATTGCTTCACCTGAAACTCAAACAGTCATGAGTAGAGTAGATATGGTTACAGGTACTTTAGGTAAAGCATACGGTACTGTTGGAGGTTACATCACCGGTAAGGCTAACTTAATTGATTGGTTTAGATCTTTTGCTCCAGGTTTCATCTTTACTACCAGTTTGCCTCCAGCAGTTATGGCTGGATCAAGTGCTTCTATTCGTTACCAAAGATCAACTTTGCAAGACCGTATTGCCCAACAAATCAATACCAGATATGTCAAGAACAATTTGAACGATCTTGGTATTCCAGTTATTCCAAACCCATCGCATATCGTACCAGTATTAGTTGGTAACGCAGCTGATGCTAAAAAGGCTTCTGATTTATTATTAGATAAGCACAACATTTACGTTCAAGCTATCAACTTCCCAACTGTTCCAATCGGTGAAGAAAGATTGAGAATTACCCCTACCCCAGGCCATGGCGCTGAACTTTCAAATCAATTGATTGGTGCTATTGATTCGGTTTTCAATGAATTGAATTTACCAAGAATCAACAATTGGGAAGCTAAGGGTGGTTTGTGCGGTGTTGGTGAAGCAGGAGTGGCTCCACAAGAACACATTTGGACTAATGAACAATTAGC